GTGGTGGGCAAGCTGCTGGGCCACTGGCGGAGCCTGCTGCGGAAGGTGCCGGCGCGTCAGCCGCGGGGCCCGAGCCTGGCGCACGGCCTGTACTGGCCCGAGCACTTCCTGCCGCCCCTCGACGGCCGGGCACCCCCGCGTTACGACAGCCTCACGCTCGACCTCTTCATGCTCGGCTACTTCCAGCTGCTGGAGATGGGCCTGAGCCGCGAGGAGCGCAAGTTCCGCCACCTGCTGTGCTACGAGATGTTCGACCGGCTGGGCAGCCACCCCTGGGAGCTCATCCGCCTCTTCCACCGCGTCGTGCTCGAGGAGGTGGAGGCCGGCCGGCGCGGCTGGAGCGACGGCTTCGAGGACCTCAGGCGCCGGTTCTTCGGAGACAGCCCCGAGGCTGAGCTGGCCCGGGAGGAAGAGGCCGAGAAGGAAGACGGAGAGGAGGCAGGAAAGGAGGAGGATCCGGACGAAGAGGCTGCTCCATCTCAGACAGAGGACCTGCCCCAGGGGCGGCCTGAGTCCCCTGCCCCCGCGCCGCAGCCCCCACGCCCGCCGCCGCCCGCTGCGCCTCCCCCGACCTCGGACCCTCCTAGTTCCGAAGCCCCCGCCGAAGACCCCTTGGAGCTGGTGTCCGAGATGGGCGAGTTCAGCAACGAGGACATCTGCCGTTACATCGACCGCAGCTTCTCCTTCTGGAAGGAGAAGGAGGCAGAGCTTTTTGACATCTGAGCAGCAGGATTCGGAATCTACCCTCTAGCATCTTGACCTGGGCTTGGATGCCTGTTTGATGCCCTCCAGAGGTCAGAGGCAGGCGGGAAGAACCTAGAATGGTGGCCTTGGACAGCCCAGAGTGTCCAGGACCAGGCTTCCTGAGCCTTTGAGATCCTTTTGTGGCAGGACATGGGGCATTGGCCGAGATAAGCGGGGCATGGCACTGGGCAAACCAGGTGTCCCCTCTGGCCCTGTGGCCTTCTGGGCTCTGTGTGTAGCCAGAGGCATCCTCTCTGAGTGAGGGACTGTGGGTCCCCCTTGGGGCACTGTGGTGCGCGCTTTTGCTCTCTTGCTTATTTGCAAGCCGACTGACGTAGATTTGCATGTTCGCTGAATGTCAAAGTGTGCAGAGCCCTCCCCAGCCCCGTGGGTGGTGACTTTCCCTGCGGGGCGCGCGCCCGGCTGCAGCCCGTCCCCCGCACCCCGGATCCGGCGTCGCCGGCGCATCCTGGGCGGAGGCGGGCCCCGAGCTCGGGGAAGGGGTTTTCCTCCCTCCCTGACCCAGATCTGCGCCCGGCCCAGGCCGAGCCGCATTTCTCAGCCCCGCCGAGGGTTTCCTCTCAGTCATTTGTTTACCAGAAACGATGAAAACTGCCTTTCGGGACGGAGTTGCAGCCCCCGGGGCCCCCACCTGCCTCCAGTGAAGTCTGCGCCCCGTCCCCAGCCAGGCCCCATGGCTCCCCGGATCCTTTCACTGCCCTGGTGGAGTAAGGACGAGGGGCCCCGAACCCGTGCCTCAACTGCTGCCCCCAGCCCCCCGCCTCGCACCCCGATTAAATCTCTCTCGGCTGCCCGCAGCTCCCGGCCACTCACTCGCCGCCACTTGCTCGCTCCTTCTCGGGGTAACTGGGCCACGACACACGTGGGAGGGGCAGGCTCGGGAGCTCAGAGCCACTCTGGTCTCTACCGTGGGTCCCAGCCCCCCTGGGGCGCTAAGACTCCAGGCCCCTGTGACGCCCCGAGGGAACCAGGCCCAGGCCACCAAAGCCACCTAACACCCCCAGCCCAGCAGAAACACCACGAAGTCACTTTCGTCAGATTTAATACCAAGGCCTCTGCCAAACTCAGGCTGAAAACCAGCCGAGCAAGCTCCCGATATTCGTTCACGGTCTTCGCCCTAACCGGAGCCCTGCTTGCCCAAGCAGGGGTGAGGCCGGCTGGCGCTGCTACGCAGGGCCGTGCCGGGGGCTTAATAAGTGACATAAAATGTCTACACGCATAAGTAACCGTACTTAGGACTTCTGCAAGGGCCACCAGAGCGCCAAGGTGGCGGGTGGGCGTCACGGGCCGCGCTGCAGGCGGCTGCGCAGGTCTTCGGCGCAGCCGTCCAGACCCATGCGCTCCAGAGCCGCATAGACGGCGCCCAGGCCCGCGGGCTGCTGCTGGCGCCAGCGCTTGAGCATCTCGTACTGCTGGTCGCGGAAGCGGCCGATCTCCACCTCCACGGCCTCGATATCCGCCTCGCGCAGCCCCAGCGTGCGCACGAACTCCTTCCAGCGCCGTGCGGGGACCGCGTCCATCACGTCGTAGAGCTGCGGGCCCGGCTGGAGGGCGGCGGCGGGCGAGCCTGCAGGGGGCGCTGGCGAAAGCGCGGACTCAGGGGGCGGGCCTGGGGCGGGGCCAGAGAGAGCCAAAGGGGAATGCGGGCTGAGGCCGGGAGGCGGGGCTATGGCCGGGAGGCGGGGCCAGGGTGCACGGGTACCCCGGGCAGGTGGCTGGTTGGACCCGGCAGGGAGGCCCGCCCCGGTCAGTTAGCGGACAGGAAGCGTGCAAATTATGAAACCACAACTTCCCGGACTTAGGAGAATGGGATCAAGGGCTCAGGCTACTGAGGTCCCTTACCAAGAGCTCTGCTGGGCAGCTGGTCCCAGGACCAAGCCACCTGCGGGCAGGGTGCCTCCTGGGTCTGGGTGGAGTCAGGGGTCCAGTTATTGCCTACCAACTGGACAGTGCAGACCTTCTCACTGCTGCTGGGGGGCACCAGAAAGGTGTGGGTGCCGTCCGAGAGTGAGAGGTGGGTGGCCTGGAAGCCAAGAGGCCCTAGGTCAGCCCCGCTTGCCTAGGAGGGCCCCGCTGCTGCAGTCTCTGGCCAGGAGTGGACACCCCTTGGCTCAAGTCAGCAGGTACCCCCCAAGGCTGCCTCCCCCAGAGCTACTGCTTCCGCCTGAAATACCCTGCCCCGGCTGCCCTCCTCTTGTTCCCCCGCCCCATGAAGCACTCATCCCACTGAACCATTAGCTCCTGTATACTTGTCTGGCCCCCATGAGACTGATGCCCACTCCAGGGCAGGCACTGTGCTGGTCTCATCGACAGATAACTCAGCTGTTAGCACATCTGTCCACTGGTCTACCCTGTGCGGGGCTATGGTGCCAAGCACTGGGGATCACGAATTATAAAAAGGCCTGATCTCCCAGCTCCAGAAGGCAGCCCAGACATTTGCTCACCCTCCTTCCAGCACATACGGAGATTCTTACCGGTGGTGGGGTCAAGGCCTCCATTTCAGCTTCATCCACTGACAGAGACAAAGAGGGTCTGGTCGGCAACCAGGCAAGGATCCTGGACCTCGGTTCTAGTCCATGTCACCTTGGGTTCCTCTGCACCCCACACTCCCTGCCTCAGTTTCCCCTTCTGTATCCAGGTTGAATGGACTCTGGGCTACCCATCCTGACCCCAGGCCCCTGGGAATGTGTGTGTGTGTGTTGCGTGTGTGTATACTTACCAGGAACCATGGGCTTCTGAGGCTGACAGCAGCAGTAAGCATAGGTCAGGGTGGCCCCCAGCAGGAGTAGGACCAACAGGCCAGCCAGGAGTACCTGGACCCAGAACACTGAAAGAACAGCTAGTGGGTGCCAGGTCGTAGCCCCCTGTCCCTGCCATACATTTCCCCTTGGTCCATCCCAGTCCTCCTGCTCACATTCCCAGCACACCACCTACTCTGCCTCCAGCCACAGACAGCAACACAGGGCTCAGGACAGCTCCCAAGGGTACTCCTGCAAGGGGGGGGGGATGGGCTGAGGGAGTACACACCAGCAGGGGCTCCCCAGGACTGCCTGACATCTTATCCATCCCAGAGGCCCTTCCCTCCCCAAGCCTCTCTCCTGTGAGCCTCACTCTACCCAAGAATGTTCCTGAAGTACTGCTGTCCCCAACAGCAAGAACCACCACCACTATTTATTGAGCTTCTTCTAGACTAGATAAGGGTCACTAGAATGTCAACTTCATAAGGACAGGGATTTTTGCCTATTTTGTTCCCTGTTGTATCCCCAGCACCTAGGACAGTCTGGAAAATGGTAGATACTCAAAGTTTTGAATGAATCAAGTGCCTTAGCTCTTATCATAGCCCTGTGATGGGCTAACGTTCCCACATTCAGATGGGGAAAACACAGATCCGAGAGGTTAACTCTCCGAACTTGCACAGGATCTGCCAGAGAACTAGCTGCAAATCCTGAATCTCAGCCCAAGTTTTGAAAGTATATCAATGTGACCCTCTGTATAAGCAACAAATCTATTCCTATCCTATATGGCTGGAAGGATTACTAAAGGAAATTCTGGCAGAAAGTGAATCATCTAGCATAAGGTGATTCCAGATTTCTCTTCACCGTCCTATGTTTGAAGTGGGGCCCACCCAACCCAGGGCCAAGCTCCCTTGTCCCTGTCCCTTCCTCCTATCCCTGAGCCAGCAGCACCTGTCCCACCCTACTCCCAGCCTCCCTTCCCTCTGGCCTAGGACAGCCAGGAAGTTACGTGGGGCAGGACACGCAGCCGCCACCATGTTCATAGAAGCCAGGCAGGCAGGTCCCACAGGCAGCATCTCTGTCAGAACCTTAAGTCCAAGAGATGACATGGGTCAGGATGGAACAGTACGGAGACAGGGAGAAGGGGGTTTGGGAGTAGATGCCCAGGATGGGGTACTCACAGGGCAGCTGTGTGTGGCGGTGCAGGGCCCCACAATCTGAGCAAGGGCGGCAGCGGAAGGGTGAACTGGCAACACACTGTCTGAATGAGCACTCAGCAAACCTGCCAGGCTCACAGCCGCAGCGGGTATCCGTCACTGTGGAGCAGTTCTGCAGGGCTACCTGTGAGGCTGGTGGGGATGCAGGGAGATGGGGAGTACAGAAGTGATCAGGGCCAGTGACCCCCGTGGAGAGGTGGGGCAGATCCCCCAGAGAATGGAGACAGGCTTAGGCCAGAGAGAGAGAAAGACAGAGACAGGGCTAACCCCCAAAAAGAGAAGCTCAGAGATCTCTGCAGCCCAAAGGCACATAAAGAGATAGGAAAGTCACCAGGAAGAGACAGAGGGCAAGGGCATCCTGACACAGGATCAGGGAGGGTGGGCACAGGGCCCTCATACCCAAAGGTTGGGCCCAAGCCAGCCACTCCCTTCAGAAAGACCCTGTCCACGGCCTGTCCTCAAGAGCCCCCCACCAAGCACTGGGCAGCCCCTCACCCTGCTCATCACAGGCCTGGCAGCGGATACAGTGTCTCTCATGGTGGTTCTCCCAAGACAAGAAGGTGCCCTGGGGGCAGGGAAGGCAAGTGGAGTCGCCACAGGGCTTCCAGCAGGGGTCCTTCAGGTAGTGCCCTGAGGAATCCAGACAGGGGTCAGACAGTCAAAGGGGCTGCCACACTCCACAACCTGCTCGCCCCCTTTCCCTTCCCTCTCTCCCTTCTGATCTCTGGCTCCCTACTTCCTTCCCAGGCCACCCGCCCCTACCTCCCACTCCAGCCTGTCCCCACCCCATCCCCAGCCTGGCTGCCCCTCTTCCGTGCCCAGCCTGCTCTCACTCCCTCCCACCTCCACCCCTGGGCCCCTTCCATCCCTGTGGCCACTTACCTGCTGGACAGCCCCTGCAACACAACAGACCATTCTTCTGGAAGTCACGAGCACAGTCACACCTGGGGCTAGGCGTGCTGCCCTGGCCCTGGGCACCCAGCAGCAGCAGAGGCAGCAGCAGAGCCTAGGGGACAGGTACTGCTAAGCCCGCATAGCCGTCCAGGTGCGGGCCTCTCCCTGCCCAGTCCTCTCCACTTCAGAGGCGCCAGCATCTGCCCTCAGAGCAGCCTGCTTCTCAGGCTCCTGGGCAGGAGGGGTGCCCATGGGTGGGGGTGAGACTCACTTCCTTCCCCGGGTGCACACACCAGGTATCAGAGGAGGCAGCTCCCACCAGCCCCTCTCACGTTTCCCCTCCGCCAGGGCAGGGATCGGGCAATCCCACCGCCTCCCATGCTCTCGCTGAGGCGGGAACGCTGAGCCTTCTCTTCCTGGGGCCCCCAGACCCCTCTGCCCCGGAGAGGTGTTTCCTCTCGGCGGAAGGGCCCGCCCCGGCGGAGCCTCTAACTAGGTCGGAAGGGGGGGCCCGGCCCAGCTCCCTGCTCCCTGCGAGGCCAGGAGTGGGGACTCGCCCGGAGGGCCCCTTCCCTCGCCCCGACGCTGGGCCTGGGCCCGAGGCCAGGCTCGAGGCTGTCCCCTGCCTCCC